ATCGCCTACTGGTAAATGTTAAAGGCTGGTAATCATCGTATTCTATATTTTGTAAACAATGGTCTGCAGTGCTCCTTGCAGCCTTCTTCTGTAAGTCCATTATCTTAGAGATATGCACCAAGTGCCCCCATGCCAATATTCCAAACATGGCAAAGTAAGCCTTTCTGGCGCATTTCTTATTTATAATGTATCTAACTCTTCTGATAGCATATATTAGTTTTGAGAGCTTAGTCCATATCAAATCTATGTGATTTGCCCAGACCAGCAAACTGTCCATAGTGAGACCCAAATATTTAACCTCCCATCCAAGCAGCTTCTTATGTTTCCTACTAGGGTAAAATAGATATGGTCTGTTTTTCTATTGTTCAGCACAATTTTGTTGGCTGAAAACCAATTCACAACTTGCTTGTGAGCATACTGAATGTTTTCGTTCATATTCGCGATGTTCTCATCCACTACCCCTAATTTTGTATCATCTGCAAATTGTGTTGTGTGGCAGATGATGTTTGGTGATAAATCATTCATGAATGTGATAAAAACAAGTGGTCCAAAAATACTCTTTTTGGCAACCCCTGCATTTATTCTTGCTATTTCTTGTTGTTTATTGTTGCATTCCACAAACTGATACCGGTTACTGAGGTATGATTGCCTAAGTTTAAGGGCTATTCCTCTAAATCCATAGTATTCTAATTTCCTGAGAAATATATCATGTGAAAAACAATTAAAAGCTTTGCTGAGATTGCAAAATAGAATAGAATTTGATATAAAGTTTGAAAAGTCTAGAACAACATCAATTGTATTAATTTTCTTTTTAAATCCAAATTGATTTTTTACAAAATAGTTATGAGTAACAAAGAAACTTGTTTTTCTCAATGCTAAATACATTTCTATAATTTTCCAAAATATCTGCAGTATGGCTATGGGTCTGTAGTTTGGTGCTGATTGACAATTTCCTGATTTATATAATGTTACTACTCTTTCCAGCTTAATCTTATTTGGAAAGATTCATGTGGAGAAAATGTTATATGCTATTGTGCAGAACGGTCCAGCAATGTACTGTGTGACAAAATTTTACCATAAAACACTAAATAAAGACTACTAATAAATAACACTTGATAAAAACTGTAAAACATTATTTATAGAAGTCACTTGAGGATAATTTTCTTGGCTTTATTTTTTCTATAATGCTCACAGTGAGCCCAAATATATCAATTTCATATGCAAATTCATTGATTGTTTTGAATATTCCGAATATTGGAATTCATGAAACAAACTTTATTTCTGTACTACTAAAGCAAATTTGAAATGTTTCAATAGCAGAAGGTGAGATATTCTCTTCTAGCATTTGGAGCAGTAATGTTAAGATCTTTGTATGTTTGGGTCTGACTCATCAGAAATATACTCTTGTAGTTGTGGAATCCGACGCTATCGACAAATTTTTTCTGGACAGATTCAATTCTATCAATCTTGTATTTATATTTTGATACCCAATTTATACATTTAATAATCGTTTGACCAAGCTAGCAAATAGTATTGTCATGGAGACGTTGTTTCGAAAATCCCTACTGTTTTTGAACAAATTTTGAATTTTTATATAAGGATATGTCCATTTGTTTAGGCATACGTCAAGGAATCAATAATAGTGCAGTAAACGGAGCGTTTTAGGTCTGAATTTTTTTTACTGTGCTCCGAATTGAATGAAATTTTGGAATTAGGTTCATCTTACCCTCAAGTTCAAAAGTGAAAACAATTCGGGTTGCGCCATCACCCCCCGGGGGGATGACACCCCCTTCTCAATTGTATAATTACATTTTTTCAAAATAACATGAAATCGATAGAAGAACAAATTATAAGAAAAAAATGTCTTCTATAGTTTTTCAAAAAAACTAATACTTTTCAAGTTACTGGCCACTAAAGATTCATATATTTTTGGCGTTTTTCTTCGTTTTTTTTGCAAATATCTCCTAAAATATACATTTTAACGAAAATCATGTAATGAACAAAATAATGTCAATAAAAATCTTAATAAATCGGTATTACATAAAGTGTTCTAGGAAAAATATTAAGCAAGATTTGTAAGAGCGAAGTCGTTTTTTCTTTCGTTCAAGATTTAATTGTTGTATTTAAAGCCATCTAGTGTCGAGGTTTTGCATTTTATGCATTTCAGTGAAATTGGGTTCTATAGTGCTCAACATAAGCTTTGAAATGAGTGCTGTTACAATTTTTTGCGTGTCAAATGAGCGAGCTATCATCCAAATAAGAAGCGTATACGAAGTTTTTTTCTGTTAAATCATATGGTTTAATGAGCGCCATTTCCACCAGAATTAAAGTAATTCACATTCCATCTAGAATTCACTTCATTATAGACATCTTGATGGATTCTAGCAGATTCACTACTTTAGTACAAACTATTTTCAGAAAACTCACGATTTTATAAAAACTTTTCTTTCTGATTTTTTTAAAAATGGAAATTATTTTCATTATATCTCAAAAAGAATAAAAGATACGTATAAAAGCATATAGATAAAAATCAAAGGGATGTTTCTGGTTTATTATTGCTTTTTATTATTTTTCTTTCACACAAAAATTGACAGAGTTATGATGGTTTAAAGAGTGCGCGGTCGCGCAAATTGGAAAAAAAAGTTTTTATAAAATCGTGAGTTTTCTGAAAATAGTTTGTACTTAAGTAGTGAATCTGCTAGAATCCATCAAGATGTCTATAATAAAGTGAATTCTAGATGGAATGTGAATTACTTTAATTCTGGTGGAAATGGCGCTCATTAAACCATATGATTTAACAGAAAAAAACTTCGTATACGCTTCTTATTTGAATGATAGCTCACTCATTTTACATGCAAAAAAATTCTTACAGCACTCATTTTAAAGCTTATGTTGAGCACTATAAAACCCAATTTCACTGAAATGCATAAAATGCAAAACCTCGACACTAGATGGCTTTAAATACAACAATTAAATCTTGAACGAAAGAAAAAACGAATTTGCTCTTTCAAATCTTGCTTAATATTTTTCCTAGAACACTTTATGTAATACCGATTTATTAAGATTTTTATTGACATTATTTTGTTCATTACATGATTTTCGTTAAAATGTATATTTTAGGAGATATTTGCAAAAAAACTAAGAAAAACGCCAAAAATATATGAATTTTAGTGGCCAGTATCTTGAAAAGTATTAGTTTTTTGAAAAACTATAAGAGACATTTTTTTCTTATAATTAGTTCTTCTAACGATTTCCGACGTTATTTTGAAAAAATGTAATTATACAATTGAGAAGGGGGTGTCATAACCCCCGGGAGGTGATGGCGCAACCCGAATTGTTTTCACTTTTGAACTTGAGGGTAAGATGAACCTAATTCCAAAATTTCATTCAATTCGGAGCACAGTAAAAAAATTCAGAGGTTGTACCCTTTTTTCCTCTCCGTTTACTGCACTATAAATGTTTAATTTACTGAAATTATATGTACATAACACAAATTTGTAAATAATCTGTGAGCTCTGGAACTCTGTATAATAAATTACTAGCCCACACATTTCAATATGAAGAATAAATCCTAATAATTTGGGGAAATTGTTCGGAGTTACTCTACTAAATGCATATATGCATTTAGTCACTATAGTGACTACTATCAACAAAATCAATTAATAGAAGAATATCTCTTCTATCAAAATTGAGTATGTACTTTTACTAGCTTCACTCGTCTCAGGTTTACTAGTACTAGTGGGTTTACTTGTACTTGGGACAGGAGTGTCATATGAATTGTCTGCTATGTTTATTTTAGCACGTTGTTGTTCATTATATAAACGTCTACGGTAACTTTTTACAATAATTACAGGAAAGTGGTTCTGATTTTGGATGAAAGGATTGAGTGGAATTAGGGGTATAGGTATTTCTAAAAAGTTTGGTTTCTGTCTTTACTTGTTTATTTATCTTAGAAAAATTTAGTAATTGTTCTTCTTCAACAGCAGCTGTTATAGCTAGCTCAAAGGTTTCTAACATTCTCGGTTTTACTAAAACTTTAATATTGGAGTGCAAACCCTCCTGAAAAACGTGTAGTGCTTGATCTCTAAGCAAATTGGTACATATAACGTCAGCACTTGGATTCTTGCAGCGTTTAATAGTTGCATCTATTAAGTTCATAAGAATATTTTCTAATCGTAAAGCATAAGAATTCATAGGTTCATTAGGACCATAGATAAATAAGCATAAATAGATCGCTATCTCGGGCCATTTGACGTTACACTCATTTTAATTTACGAATAGATCACTACATGGAAGCACATGTACATACAGTATGTAAATTAACCCCTGGTATTACTTCTACATTTGTACATCAAATCAATACAGCCCAAAAATCTGAAAAAAATTATTATTTGAAATAAGAACAAAACATACGAAATACAAAATATATTTTCAAATATATCACAGACATATTTTTGAAGAATTATAAACTAAACAGAAATAACTGACTACTATTAATTAAAGTATATTACAGACATATTTTTAAAGTACTTATTCTATTAATATTCTAGAAATAACTTATTCATATTAATTACTTAATGACTAATAATAATATATTAAAAACTTAAAAACTAAGAAGTAAAAAGTGCAGGAGTATTGATGATGTAATGACAAATTTAGAAGGAATGACAAGTAATGCAATAATTTAAAAGGATAAAAAGAACAGCACATTTTTAAAAAAGAATGAATACTTTCCAAACAAAATAATCCTAAAAACAAAACATATATATATTGATATCCAAATTGAGATAAAACTAAATTCCTAGGATTAAAATTCATTTACGAGACATTCTTGTTTATTATCTCTCCATTTAATAGTTATTTTGCTATCTAATCAATCATTAATAAAGTTATATTTGACGAAATCTTTGAATAGTTTCTGTATAAGTGTTTTTAAACGTAAGTAACCAAAACCCTGAACTACTTTTAATTTATACCAATTGTAGCTCAAATCTATCTATCGTTTTAATCCAGTTTTTATTGCAAGGAGGTTTAGTTAAAACTATAACTAAACCCTTGCGCTTTATAAACTGTCTGGTCTTTGAGTATGCTCTCTTAATTGAGACATTATCAAAATTCTTGACCTTACATTTTAAGTTTCCGGAATATTTGAAAACTTCTCAGAACATTGTATACTCTGTTGGAATTTATCCTTTAAATTATTGCATTGCATTTTAATCCCGAAACAAAATTTGATGTATCATACATCTTCTGGGTGTTAAGGCACTCCTACGCCTAATCATTGCATTCTGCGGCAATTTGCAGCTACCATCAAGGACTTCTATTGAATATATTGTTATATCATATTATTTGAAGATATTGTAATTATCATATTAAATATTTTTGCTGCAATTAGTATGAAAAAATACCTTTTCGGAAAACTGGTGTCAGAATAGGTGACTTTTAACCTGCACTTCACAATCTTAGAGGTGCTGCAAAAATCTTTTTCAAGGTGTTTAGGCTTCCATCTCCTAAGAACATAAGATTCTTTTATTAATTTTTTTTTGCAAATGTTATTGAAGTATTTAGAGTTATAATTACTTGGCTTTGTCCTTGGAGTTGCAGATTGTTCTTCTGGTTCTGTATCAGAGCATTCTCCAGTGACTTGAAAACTATTTTGTTATTGCCGTAAAGGAGACACTTCTATTTGGTTTCGATTTCAAATTATCGTTGATTTGTGCCACAAACCGAAGAGTTAGGTCATCCATTAAAAGATTATTCGCCCTCTGCATCCAAATTGAAAGCATCTTTTTACACACAAATTTTTACACACAAATATATATATAATATATATTTACACAAATATATATATATATATATATATATATATATAACATTTTAATAGTATTGTGATGATACATATTCATTATATGCATAATACATCATTATATAAGTACATACCTGATAATTAGATGCCGGAAAAACATGCATTTTTTTATTATATTTGGGGTTATAACAATTTGGCACATAACACTTTATCATTTTAACTTAATAATAAATGAAAAAAGTATTCACCAAAACATAATTATATATAAACAATCACAGAAAATCTCAACTACAATACGCGATGACAATTTGACAACTTATAGAAGATGGCCGATCAAATCAATGTAGATCAACAAGCCAGCTGCTAGATCAATGAAATTGGAAATCGTAGCGCCATCCTTCGAACTATTCAAATACCATTCCATTTCAAAACACGGTAATCTTCATTTGTTCGGAGATTACCGGCCATGATTAGGACCCTGTGTACATTTATTAAAATAATATACTTTTTTTTTAACTTAACTACGTGTTCATTGGAATTAACTATATTGATAAAACAGCTTCAATTTACAGGTGAAACTATCTATGAACACACCTTTGGATAATTCAGATTTTTGTATAATTCCTACAGTATTTATATTCGGTGCTACTGTTACAACACTTTCCAAACATGGATTTGATTCAATTGTTGGAAAGCTCAATGGTATTATTGTATTATAACTAAATTTTAATATCGAATCTAAAATGTTTATAGTACCCTCAAATTTCTTCAAAAAATCAATTCCTAAAATACCGTCACCTTTTATAGGCAGGTCATCTTTAACTATCTGAAATATGTGTCGAATAATTTTATCTCCTAAACACAATCTAATTGTGGGTCTACTTATTGTATCTATACCTTCACCTGAAACTCCTGCAAGTTTCATTCTTATGCTATGCTCTATATCTAAATTATCTTTAACTTTTGAAATGTTAATTAAGCTAATCTTTTATCGCTAACTAAATCTAAACATTCTATATTTACAAAAGCTAAATTATTTCTAGTGTTACCTAGACAAGAAATTTGAGCGGGTTTAAAATTTAGAGCTTCACTCGTCTCAGGTTTACTAGTACTAGTGGGTTTACTTGTACTTGGGACAGGAGTGTCATATGAATTGTCTGCTATGTTTATTTTAGCACGTTGTTGTTCATTATATAAACGTCTACGGTAACTTTTTACAATAATTACAGGAAAGTGGTTCTGATTTTGGATGAAAGGATTGAGTGGAATTAGGGGTATAGGTATTTCTAAAAAGTTTGGTTTCTGTCTTTACTTGTTTATTTATCTTAGAAAAATTTAGTAATTGTTCTTCTTCAACAGCAGCTGTTATAGCTAGCTCAAAGGTTTCTAACATTCTCGGTTTTACTAAAACTTTAATATTGGAGTGCAAACCCTCCTGAAAAACGTGTAGTGCTTGATCCCTAATAGTCTAAGAGCCAGTGAACTATTTGACTAACCTGTTTTCTCAAAGCTAGAAATTTTTTTAATGATATTTTATTATCGGTACATTAAGAAAGTGCCGGTCTGGCAAGCATTTGACGATTGCGTCATCATCCCTCGAGTTTTTGAAAATGTAAAAAAACTCATTTTTTTAACTTGCTTTCACAAGGCTCAAATTTTGAGGGAGTATTTTTGTAACTGTTCAGAAAGCATATGTAGAAAGCGAGACCATTCTGACGATTGCAAGGGTCTGCCAGACGAGTACATAATAGTCAAGACGCGCAAGGGTGTGGGCGCATTGCCATACATGATCGACTAATACCCTTGTATTTGAATAATTTATACGCCATTTTGAAGGTCATTTTGAAAACATCCGATATACCAAACTTCAACTTTGTATCTCACCTTATGGCCGAGATATCATTGAAAATATGCCAAAGTGGCCCCTTTTTCAAATTCAATTTTTGGCGTAACCATAAAAGATATCGAAAAAAAAAATTACGTGATTCTACTCATATTGGCTTAGGCCGCTTAATGTATAGTAATATATGCTAAATAATCCTTTATTATTAGCTAAAAAGGATAAAATAATTTTTCAATTAATGTTTTCGGATAGTGCGTTTTGTTCAATTACTTTCTTATTAGCGTTATTCGGAAGCCTATTGTTTATTCTTTTAGTACTGCAAAAATTGTTCAAATCAAATTTGTGGAACACATTGAAAAATTGAAGAAACCAGAGTTTGTATACCCGCGCGTAACGCATCGCGCACTGCTATCCGATCGAACGAGTTCTATGCACAGTACACCGCGCGTAACGCTAATAAGTAGCCCGCATAGAATACGTTCTATCGGATAGCAGTGCGCCATGCGTTACGCGCGGGTATACAAACTCTGGTTTCTTCAATTTTTCAATGTGTTCCACAAATTTGATTTGAACAATTTTTGCAGTACTAAAAGAATAAACAATAGGCTTCCGAATAACGCTAATAAGAAAGTAATTGAACAAAACGCACTATCCGAAAACATTAATTGAAAAATTATTTTATCCTTTTTAGCTAATAATAAAGGATTATTTAGCATATATTACTATACATTAAGCGGCCTAAGCCAATATGAGTAGAATCACGTAATTTTTTTTTCGATATCTTTTATGGTTACGCCAAAAATTGAATTTGAAAAAGGGGCCACTTTGGCATATTTTCAATGATATCTCGGCCATAATGTGAGATACAAAGTTGAAGTTTGGTATATCGGATGTTTTCAAAATGACCTTCAAAATGGCGTATAAATTATTCAAATACAAGGGTATTAGTCGATCATGTATGGCAATGCGCCCACACCCTTGCGCGTCGTGACTATTATGTACTCGTCTGGCAGACCCTTGCAATCGTCAGAATGGTCTGGCTTTCTACATATGCTTTCTGAACAGTTACAAGAATACTCCCTCAAAATTTGAGCCTTGTGAAAGCAAGTTAAAAAAATGAGTTTTTTTACATTTTCAAAAACTCGAGGGATGATGACGCAATCGTCAAATGCTTGCCAGACCGGCACTTTCTTAATGTACCGATAATAAAATATCATTAAAAAAATTTCTAGCTTTGAGAAAACAGGTTAGTCAAATAGTTCACTGGCTCTTAGACTATAAGCAAATTGGTACATATAACGTCAGCACTTGGATTTTTGCAGCGTTTATAGTTGCATCTATTAAGTTCATAAGAATATTTTCTAATCGTAAAGCATAAGAATTCATAGGTTCATTAGGACCCTGTGTACATTTATTGAATTCTAATTGTAGCGATGATACGGACCTACAGTCATAAAATAAGTTTTCTAATACAGTTTTAAGTTCTTCAAATGTTTCAAAAGTTTTGTACTGAATTGCTGAATTTTGTACTGATATGTAAAATATAGTCTAAAAATGCGGAATGATTCGTCGTAACAGTATTTTTAAATGCAAAAGTACATGTACGAATAAATTCAGTAAACTGGAGCTGGTCAGATCCATCGAAAGGTTTGATCATATCTCTGGCTTCCTTTAACGATAATATTTAAATTATGATTACTTTCGGGTACTGGAATATTTAGGATTGATCTAGAAATAGGATTAGGACGAGGATTTAAATCAACACTAACACTATCGTTAAACGCTGAGTTCAATAAGTTTAATGAATTTGGATTACCTGAACTGAAGGTTAAAAAGTAATCAAATACGGAATCAGTCGATCTGCTTAACACTCGCCGTTGTCGTAGTGTGAAATCTGCTGCCTCACGTTCTCCAGACATTAATAACTTTATTTAAACAAATGTATTAGGTATGAAAATAAAAATTGTATAAAGTAACGCTAAATCTATAAAATATAATTGTTTGATATTCCAGTTAATAGTAATTTTTTATAATTGAATGTAAGTAATGATATAAGTAATGGTATTCTAAAATTTTTATAAATTCAGTAATTAATAACGTAGAAAAGTCTAAAAGTTTGTGTCTATAATTTCGGTATAAAATTCTACGTTATAAATATATCTAAAATTTATGTATCTAAAGGTTTGTAATTTAGTCTAAAATTTTGTAGTTGGAAAAAATCTAAAATTTCGAAATTTAGTAATCTAAAATTTTATAGTTTATAAATCTAAAATTTTGGTAACAAAAAATATAACTATTCTATAATTGATGTCTAAAATATCGTATACGAAAATGTGCTCCTCTAAAATTCATGCACGGCGTCCTTTGGCTTGGGTTTTTGGAATGGCGGACAAGATGGCGCTCTCTCGAAATTTCTTGAGAAATTCTGATTCTTGTATAAAATTGTGGAGTTTTTACCTCGATTTCCTCTGCATACTTGTTTTCACTGGCCTGTTTAGTAGATTTTTCGCCACCATTTGTTGCGCCATCAGCATAAAAACGCGTATATTTACTACAGTCTAGCTGTACCCCTGTACCCTTCACGCTTTGCAGTGATTTAATTTGAATTAAAAAGTTGAACAAAGATGTGTATTTGTTACATTTAGTTTAACGTTACTACTATCTGTTCAACAATTTACCTATTCAACAATTTGTCTATGAATTTACCTATAAACTTGTTAATCAATCATTTTACCGACCACCATATTTCTGAGTCCGCGGTTTCCTGGGACGGTGCCCCCTTAGGTCGGGGGCGCGTGGCATTTTGCCACACACGCCACGCTATAGTTACGCCACTGAATACTAATATCTTTATCAATAGGATCACCTTCCACATGTTTTATTTTATTTTGCCACTTTTTTATTTTCGATTGAACAAATTTCTTTCTCCACATTCATGATACTATCGGACTATTTATTTCGGATCTTTAGATGATTTAAGTATTGAGATGACCATGTTTTCCAGAATTGATCACGCATATTTGTAATTTGTTTTATAAATTTTCAATTTATTTATACTTGGTTTTGACATAAAAAACATCGCATAAATATTTAGAAAATCATTTATGAATAACGATATAACACTAGTAACACAGTTTAACCCTCCTTTGAGCGGATAGTCTGCTACACTTACTTCATGCGGATGGTGTCTGGCCAGACCCTCATATACTTACGTGTATTTGTATATATGCTATTTTTCGACGCGTATATAATCCAATTAATCCGTTGGGATACAAATTTTATGATTCTGATTTTTGTATTTGGTTACGACATTCCACAATCAACCTAAACAAGAACAACATACAAAAACAACAATCCAATCTGAAAAAAATCAAAGTGTGGAATAAAACACATTTTTTCATGTATAGTTTTTTACTTTATTTTGACCATATGTGTTGTTTGAA